TACCCCAATACTTGGGGATAGTTCATACTAAAAATAGACTAAACTTGATGGTCCAATGTATTTTATTATTAACCATAAAACTTGATGGTCTAAGGTCCCTAAATTTTTACTTGTCCAATCTATAACCCATCTATCGGGGAGTGAACCACCGAAGCACCGCGGAGTCCTTCAGGACCTGCACAGTCGCGCGGCCAGCAACGTGTCGTTGGCGGATGGGGCCATGGCCTGTGAACGACCGGCTGGTTGGTGTGCCACTGCCAGCATGAGTCTGGGACGAATCAGACCGGGCAGAAGTCGAGACGGTCAACTTCCCGAATTTACCCGGCCTGGTAAACATACAAAAAGCTATTGAAAATTGCCCATTGAAATAGTGGATTTACCCAGCTATAAAATGGTGATTTTCCATAGTTACGTTAGTTTACCGGAGGGTACTGCGGATGATTCGGATGATTTTCCCATGACAGAATTGAATGGAGGATGTTCAATTGCCACGATCGATTACTGGAGGGTCGCTATGGAAATCACCCTGGAAATCACCAGAAAAACGATGAAAAACATCGAACTCAATGGGCCATGCAGAGGGTATCTTCCCAGATCTTCTGGCCAAAATCCCGCAGAAGTATCATCGTGGTATTACGAAAGATGAGATCACTGTTGTTGGGGGAAAAAAGTTAGCGTTGAGTTGCCTGAAAAAAGTGGCTGAATTCTATGGTTTATGGTAGATACAACTATAGTATTCATGGGGAGTATAATGGTTTATAAACCAACAAACATCACTGGAGGGGCCCATCCTGCACCGTCGACGATGATTCTGCTCCCAACTTCACAGGTGATATCCCGATCTTTGGCTGTTAAATGTTCCCAACACGTCTGGACAAAGGGTTTGTTTTAATTTCCCGTTTTTTGGGGGATGTCACAGGATTTTGTGTCACATCACTTTAACATATGTACCTGCTGGAGATGAACACACATGTGTGTATATATATATATATATATGTGTATATATATATGTGTATATGTATATATATATATATATGTATATGTATATATGTATATATACAGATACATACATGTATACTTATATATATATATGTATATATTTAGATAGTTTTAGTTGGGTGATGTAAGAAGTAGGACATTGACCAATCCCTGTTTACACCTCTTCTCTGTTCCCCAGATCTCTCAGGTACAGTTTAGAGGAGCGAAATCGGAAGCTGATGGGTGGCATGTGGCCAATCTGGACAATTCCCAAAGGAATAGCTACAAGGTGGTGCCCCATAATTAGCTAAGTTGGTTTATAAGTCCAATAACTAGGGTTGATTAGGGGGTTATACCTATAGTTCATGGGGATTGTAAACCGAGTTATAACTGGGAAGGCACCACCTTGTATGAGTCAAAACCCTGGTACCCTAGGTACCCTGAAATAACTGGTTAATTCATGTTTGTTCCCCTATGGAAACAATGGTTTTGACCAATCCCCAAACGATTGAACTCTTGAGTTTTAACCACAAAAGTTCAACATTGGCTTAAAAACAATCTGAAACACAACCAAGATTTTTTTTAAAAATTTAAAAACCAAAGATTGAATTTCGCCAACACACGATTACGACTATACACAACAAAGTTGCGATTTTACCGACGTAGCTGGAGAATTTCAACAAGACCCGGGGCCTTTAATAGCACAAATCATGATTTTGCTGGCATTCTATCATTATAACTCATCCCACTTAGTAGATAGGTTAGTTCGCCCAGCTATCAGCGGATTAACCCTACTTATCCCATATATAACTGGGGTTAGAGCCCATTTATGAAGTGGGATGCAACAACAAGTATCATTTATGTGTATATATATATATACGCGCAACGCCTGGGCTTTATATATATATATATATATGTATATACATATATATATATGATAATCATTGATAATCAATAATTTTGTGATGTTCATCAGATATTGAAGCTTCAAATTTTCAGATGTCAGCAGTCAGCACTGCACAGTACCACTGCACTGCAGCCATCGACTCCGAAGGACTGTAACCTCGATGGTATCAAGGATCAGGTCTGTGACAACAGTCTGGCCTCAGCCACTGACAAGCTACTCAGCTGATCATTGGATCGGTCAGTTTACGAAGGAACTGGTGAAGAGTTCATCCCATAGTTCGTGAACATGATTCTGGATCATATTGTCCGTTGGTTATAATTTATAATCCATTGAACTATGTATTGTTGCTTCTATGGGGACAATAATCTTCCATTGTTCGTTAGCAAAATGCTTTGAAATATGGATGATCCTGGAGATTTTTTGCTCCCCTAAATAGTTTATCCCATGGTTGAAATAGGTATTGCTTATGGGAAGCCGCCAGGGGACCGCATTCTCGCTGAAGTGGTGTTCGCCAGTGGATGGAGGATCTTCAGGCAAAACCCGCATTTATACCCGGCCTGGTAAACATACAAAAAGCTATTGAAAATGGCCATTGAAATAGTGGATTTACCCAGC